TTCTTCCCCATTAGGGGAATCTTGGGTTTGCCCTCTTGGAGATGATTTCTCGGAATTCCTCTTTTCTTCCCCAGTGGAAGAAACTTGGGATTGACCTCTTGCAGATGATTTCACTGAAGTCCGCCTTGTTTCCCTACAGCAAGCAACTTGGGATTGACCCCTTGGAGATGCATTTTCAGAAGGTTTTCTTGATTTCGAATCCATTGAATCGGTATTGGGAGCATTCGTGGATGGACCTCTTGTCTTTGGGTCCATCATTTCCTCGGTTATTGAGTTTGATTTATTTGCTACTCCCTGCACTAACTGACCGGCAACTAAATAATCACAACAAATATTCTGATTTTGAATTGCTGTAGCTGAAGCTGTTATTTGCCTTAACATTTCCTGTTTTTGTTCGTTTCTTAAATGGTCATTAGATTGACATTCTGAGCCTTCTGATTGCTGGTCGGTAATTAAAATACCAGTATTATAATTAACTGAGATATTTTGGGATAAACCTGACTGCTGTATAGGCTGACTTTTAAGATTCTTTTTTAGTCCGTCTACTACTTCGCTGTTGGCCTGTTTCCTTTTATGATGAATTGGACAATGTCTAATGCTGTGACCCGGAAGTCTCGCTGATTTTATATCTTTCCATTTTCTGTGGCTTTCGTTGCAAAAACTGTCTACTTTTCCTCCTCCACTCCTCGGCGACTTTTCCGCAGAATGCGTTGATCCTTCGATTGCTGAAACACGAGATCTAAAGCTAAGTCCCGATTTCATGCCTATTGCCGGCTTCTCTGAGGATCGACGATGAGTGGACAAGCGCGAGGAGCGTTGGGACGTTGAGGGGGTGCGGGGCTTCGACGAAGACACCAGTTCAATGTGACCCTGTCGTGTTTCTTTTCCCTTATGTACAGACTTTGATTGAGTTTCTATTTTTTTGTACACTCTTCCATCAGTGGTTTCATCCGAATAGTTTGTATTTAGCGACATGATATCCATACTGCCTGACTTGACGATCTGTTTGCTCACAGATTGCTCCAGCTTGATGCCATGAACCAAATTCAGATTATCATACTTGATGTCCGACGTTGTTTTCTTATGTACAGTTTCCGTTGAGCCGGAGGGCCTTATAACTTTGTATTCAACATATTCCTCCTCTTTGACAATACGACTGATGTCTGGAAATTGCGTTGTCTTATTTTCTAAGATTATATCATTGGTCTGAATCGCTTTTCCCTTCATCAGGGGACATTTACTTTTTCTCTTAACAGCCACGCGCTGATTCAGTAATTTAGAATCGTAATTTGAATTGATAATCGGATTGGATAGAGCACAGCATGGTATCGCCTCAATGGGCTTATATCTCAATGGCTTGCATACTTGAATAAACCTCGCCGGCTTTTTGGCAAGGCGGCTCTGATTTCCCCGCACGGTGGGCAGCGGCATCTCCGCTGAGGACAATCAACAGGATCAGGAACAATCAATAGATGCGCTGCTCAAGCACACATTTCTACACTTAGAATTTTTGACCAAGACGAACGAACATTCGTGTAGAGGTTTTACTACCCTGAAAACCAAAATGAAATGTAACTCAAGGCATTTGGCCGAGAGAGTTTAGCAGCCTTTGAGCGAACAGTTTAGAAATATCAATCAGAATTTGTATTATTCGTATGTAATTAAGAGTTGTGTATGTTCTGAGAAAATCATTTGCTTTTATTTTTTTTAAGTAGTCCATGTTCAGTAAATACTGGTGAAATTATAGTTGTTTTTTTTTTTTTTTTTTTCTTTCATCCTTGTGTTAAATTGAACGTTTGCAAAATTATGCGTATTAATTTAATGCAAAATGGGGCGACATGACTTTTTAAAGAAATTGGAGGAGTTCCAAAAGAAACTTGATGTGCCCAAATGGTATTTGGGCCTATCGGACTACCAGGAGCGAACCGTCTTGGAGCTTTGCAACGATCTGCGCGATGACTTCGAGCAGGGCACTTGCTATCGCGTGGAAAAGAGCTTGATGCGTCTGGGCCTCAGTCCGCTTATTACCAAGAAGAAGATTCGCACGATGGTGGTACTGAGTCGTGGCAATGATCTAGCATTCCTCTTCTTCATTCTCGAGGGCTACTATCTGAGCTGTCGCAAAAACGGTGAATACACCACCAACGAGAAGCTGCTGATGATGGCACTGTCGAAAATAGACCTGCTGCCAACCCTACGTGAGCTGGATCGCATCCTGCCACCGCCTCAGCTGAGTGAGTTGGAATTGAAGCGCCAGCACCCCAGCTACAATCAGCCGAGACCCTCTAAGGACGTGGTGCATGAACGACGCTCAACGAAGAAAGTCACAGTTAGTCGTTCGACCAAGTCTCCATACTTCCAGCGCCAGCCGAGGCCCAAGGAAATCGTCGTTAAATACATAAGTAAGCCGCCCAATTTGGTGGCCACTTTCCCATTCTGGCGCTTGGATAAGCCGCCCAATTATGGTAGGAAAACGGAGCCGCCGTGGTTCGCCGAGTACAACCTAAATCCGGTGGGTCGACTCGTCAAGAGTATTGTGGGTGAAGCGGTGGACAAGTATTTCAATCATCTGAACCACATCAAATACCTCGAGCGCAGAGCCAGGTTCAGCCGCAGGGCGGCAGCTGCCCTGGAAAGAGCCCTAACTGACAACAGCGATGAGCCACAGATGTGCACCTACCACAAATTCGCAGTTGGGGAAACGCAGCTGGTCAAGGACGAGATGACGGTGATGGCTCGCAACCGCTGCCTAGAGCTGATGGACGTGACGTTACCCTATCGCCAGATACGCCAAAAGCGCATTATAGCTCAGCTGGAGCGCGACATTGACGATTGCATGAAACGCTATGCGTTGAAAATGGAAAGCACAACGGTGCACACGATTGAAAAGACCGACTGCGTGCTGTGCCAGGAGCAACGTGTAGATCTGCCCGCAGCCAAGCCGCAGGAGCAAAAAGGACGCGCCCTTATTGGGGACGGGCTGCACTTGGCACACACGGAGGTAACCGACAAGTGTATTGGAAAACGGCTCACAGGCGGTGGGTTGATTAAGGAGCCAGTCGAGTTTGAGCCTCCAGCGGATCCGTGCCCGAACTCGGGTATTAACGCCGAGCTGATCCCAGAAAATGACCCGATGCCATGCTTCGCGCCAAAGGGCAAGAGCCAGCACCGCATATCCTTTCTGCTGGATGACAGCAAGCTGAAGAGTCTGCGAAAGAATCGCAAGGAGTCCTCTGTGGAGGTGCGCTTTCAGGGCAAGCAGACCAAGAAGTCGTTTTTCGTGGCACCCACCGACCACAAGCCCTATCAATTCAAGTACAAGCGCATTTTCAAATCGGGCCAGGAGAAGCCGCAGGACATTAAGAAGGTGATCGCCAAGGCCTTCGTGAATGCCCTGGATAGGGGCGATGAAATGCCGGCTCCCCTATGCAAGAAAGCGTCCGTCACATCCGATGAAGATATCGAAAAAATGGAAAAAGAGATCAATGGCGTTCGTCTGACGGACAGCTGCGCCTCCACTGGCGATACCAGCGAGCACAGCATTCGCAGTCACGAGAACCACCGAGCCGACATCGTGGACGCCGTGGTGCGCTGCGCCAAGGAAATTTGGATGAAGGGCGTCAATGTGAAGCGTGCCGAAATGGAGGCCAAGGAAGACGATGACAAAAAGAAGGCCCAGGAGGCAGCGGTACTCAGCTATGAGGTGGAGAAATTCAATCCAGATGATCCGGAGCTCATGAGTCGTCTGCTCAAGGATGGACTGGACCAGCTCAAGAAAAACCAACGATTCGTCCTGGCATCCCTGCCTGACGCTCACAAGCTGCCCGTGCTGCAGGAGTGGATAAAGCGACGCTACGGCAAGCAATATACCGAGGACGAGATCCAGAAGAACCTGCTCGAATCGATCAAAATATTTGAGCTGATTACCATGCTGCAGGCCAATCCGCCGCCGGCTGACTTGCTGGGCATGGACAAGCTGCCGCCGAGCAAGGAGAACTTCGGCTACTGCAAGCAGGCCAAGGCCCTGGTAAGTAACTGCACTGAAGCGCCTCCGCTGTGCCCACTCACCCACTCACCCATTCACTCCTCCCGTTCCCGTGCAGGCCGCCAAGGTGAGGATGAACTACTACAGTCAGCTGAACGACATGTACATGAGTCACATGGGTGCCTGCTGGTACGCCATGGGCAACTACTTGTGCCGCAGCGGACCGCCGCGGAAGACTTTCTACGCCTACATGTCGGCCAATACTCGGGACATAATGCGCAACAAGGTGTGGAACGGCGAATTCAGAAACATACGACGGTTCCGGGACAACTACAAGGAGACCCACAAAACATAGAATAGGCTAATAATAAGAGGAAACATAAATTTATTGACAGTGAAAATCTCAAAGACTATAGTTAAGCAATAAAAGTTTGTGCTAAATAAAATCAATAGTTTCTCTTCACGCGCGGTATGCGCTTGCCGGTGACGCCTCTGCTGGCCATGTAGGCCATGATGGAGCGCTTTGTGCTGGGCTTCAGCTCGCACACGTCGAACTCGATAACCTTGTAGCCATTCCCGAAAGTAATGCCCTCCATCTGGTGGACCATGTGTATGACGTTCAACAGCATGATGCCCTCCAATTGCTGCACTCTGGCATGCAATTCCAAGTCCTCTTCGGAGGCCGTCCGCGGCGCGGACTCCTGCTTCCGCAGAGGGATAGACTGTGCCTGGCGCATTTGGTTATTGTACTCGGCAAGGACTGCGGTGTTGTTTTTGGAATGAGATGACATAGTGATGTCTTCGCTTTGCTCTTTGCTTTTGTCTTCGCTTTGGTCTTCGCTTTGCTCTTCGCTTTGCTCTTCGCTTTGCTCTTCGCTTTGCTCTTCGCTTTGCTCTTCGTTTTGCTCTTCGCTTTGCTCTTCGCTTTGCTCTTCGCTTTGCTCTTCGCTTTGGTCTTCGCTTTGCTCTTCGCTTTGGTCTTCGCTTTGGTCTTCGCTTTGGTCTTCACTTTGCTCATCACTTTGCTCTAGGCTTTGCATTAATTTGACGCGTTCGCATTCGTAACACTTTCTACTTTCGTTGGGTGTACAGGTCTTCGGCACCTTGGAAAACATATCCTCAAATATGACCTGCAACTTCCTGGCCATATCGTAGCACAAGTGGCCGGGACTTGTGTATAGATAGGCATTGTAGAATATGAGGCGCACATCACAAGCGAAATCGAAGGCGCTTGAGTAAAAATTCGAATTGAGGCGGTATCTGACGGTCGACAGATCCATCGGGCACTTCACAACGTTATGGTAGTCGTACAGGCCCAGAAATTCGGCATCAATGGGCTCGTAGAATATCCAGGCCAATTCTTTGTACTTCTTGGAGAACATGCTTCTGATTATCGCCTTACATGCGATAATATCCGGCTTCGGCTTGTTGCCCCAATTCACTGCTGGGCATATGCTAGACATCTCGGATATATAAAATAAAATTAGGAAACTGAAATAATATGTAGCTAATCTTTAGCTCAATAGACTCACAATGCCATTTGACTTGAAATTCTCTGCGTTCCCCTGAAGTATATGAACTAGTTCAAGTCAGCTGACTCAGAACAATGACAAATATATAAAAAGCTTTCTTCTTCTTCTAAAATTGTCGTTTTCAAAATATGCCTACATACACTTGACTAAATAAGTATGCGTTCAAGCTCTATTTAACAAAGGTTGTTTGCAAAAGAAAGGAATTTAAAGCTAAACCTAATTTTTTAATAAATAACTAAAAATCATTTAGTATTAATTTTCTTTATTTTATTAGAATTTTTTATTTATTTATCTTTATTACTATTATTTATATAAAAGCAACAGATTTACCAGAAAAGCACAAAAGGGATTAAGTTTAATAATTCCTATTATAATATATTTACTTATTTGCTAAATTTATACAGATATTCAATAAAAAAAGAAAAAATAGGAATGCGTGTAATAAAAATTTCAAATACCACTGCCTTTTAATGGTGAATCAGTAAATGAAAAATACAATTTTCTTCTTACAAAATTTGTATTTCAAAATATGGATACATACAAAACTACATAGTTTTTGCAAATGATTAACAATAAACATAACATTCCATTAGATGGCCGGCGGCACGGTAAATATGTTGAATCTACAAATTTTGTACACTGAGACCAGCCAACGATTCGTATGGTTCTGCAGCTCGACTCCAGCGAGCTCTTCAGCATTCGAATAGTTTCGCCTGAATCGCATGAAAAGCTCAATGAACACATAGGGCAACTGAGAGGCGGGATCCTCCAGCTGCAGCTTGAGCTCCGGCTCCATATCGATCATCGCATTTTTCATGGTCTCCAGATCCGAGCTCTCACAGTCCGCCACGTGGCGCAGTCCGACAAAAACCACATCGATCACAGCATACCTTAACCCCAGTATGTTGTACAGATGCACATTAATGGGAACTGCCTGGCGAATGTCCTGCTGGCGGAATCGCAGCAACTCTGAAAACGATTTGTGCGGAAAGTTGACCGCCTCGTTGGCCATTTGGTAGTATACATTCGAGGACGAGAACTGATCAATGCTCTTCATATCGCGCATGCGTATGATGTCCGTCAGCGAGACGGCTGCCCTCTTCGACTCCTCGACAAAGTCGTGCTCCTTGAAGTTGCGATCCCACGTCCACTTCAGCTTCCACATGCGCAGCTTGCTCATGTAGTACTTCAAGGGGCTGTACTTGAATACGATCTGGGGCACTACCACCTTGCTGTTTACCTTCACCTTGGGCGCATCCGGCTTTGGGGGCAAGATGAAGCACCTCTGCTGATGCTGGCACACATTGAGCGATTCCCGTTTAGCAGCGATAGCCCGCACCACGCTAGACCAATTACGCAACAATTTCGTACACATTTCGTCCTCAACCTTTATTTTCAATTGATTTCGAAATTTAATTTTGAAATGACAATGTAGACAAGACCTGACCTACTACGTCGAGAAGGCTGACAATGAACTACAAATCAAGTTAAGTGGGTTAAAATAAGCACTAACATGGTGACACCAAAATTTATTTGCGACAGAAAACGAAACGCCCTTCTCCTTTTTTTTTTAGACTGTTCACATTCACAGCGCATACATGCAGACTTTTCTCAGTTCCTCCTCCTTGCCCTTTGTGGAATTGAGTCCATTCCTTTCGGGCTCGTAAAACTCTTTGACAATAGCCTCGACCATTTCGTTGAGTGTATTGTTTAGAGCAGTCCACGACTTATTCTCCGGCTCCCCGCACATTTCGGCATAATACGTGATCTTGGGCTGAGCTCTACTGGCTTTCAACGTTATCACAAATCCATTGCTGAAGCTGAACGTTATCATCTGGTTGGATTTACTAGATGGTAGAGTCGCCTTGTCATCGTCCGTGCTGCTATCGTAGCCCGTCGTCAGATCACGCACGCTCTCAATCTCATATTCGCCGTTCAGGATGCTCGTCGGATACGTATCCTTCCGGCCATCGTCGAAGGTGCGCAGGCGATGGAAGATATTGTTGATAATGCGTTCGTTGTCGAAAACGTGATAGGACACTTGGCTAGTGTGATATCCGTAATTATCGTATATTTCGTCCAGTTTGTCCTGCAATTTCATGTCCTTTTCCGATCGAAGGTATGATGCCATTGAGGCCAAGTGGGCCGCAGCACTTATGCCATCCTTGTCGAGCACATTTGTGGAGAGCATGTAGCCGAAAGCTTCATCGAAGGCAAACAGCACATTCCGTCCTTTGCCCTCCTCTTCGAGCACCTTATTACAGATCCATTTAAAGCCGTTCAGGGTCTCATGGAACGAGAATCCCTCGACCTCCGCCATCGACTTCAGTATCTTGGAGCTGAGAGTGCTCGAGATCATGACGCAGTTGGATGCGTTGGGCTCTTCCTCGCTCATCACATAGTTCTCCCAGGCCCACCAGCCGAGCAGGGCGCCCAGCTCGTTGCTGCTAAAGACTCGATATTTTCGCTTGACCACCTCGGCTGCGGCCATGCAACCGGCAACCGGATCGTTGATCAAGATAAGGTCAGCGTTATTGATGGTCGCCCGTCGCGTAGCCAGGAAGAGTGCATCATCCGGTATCGGCGTGTCTGGGAAGTCTGGATTGGGGGTGACCTGCTCCAGCACAGGTATGACTGGATCGAACTCGATAGCCTTGAATGCCAGCTCAATGTACGGATAACCAACGCCATGCATCGCCGTATAGATGAAATTCAGAGGATATTTTTCACAGTCCTCCAGAAATGTACTGAGCTGTGACTTGAGTGATTCGTAATAGGCCTCAACGATTTGTTTGTACGGATTACTCAGTAATTCGGTAGCGCCTAGAGCTTCCTGATTCCAGGAATCTTCTGCAGGCTCCAGATTCTGACGAATACAACGCTGAATGCCCGTGTCGTGAGGTGATGTGACTGGAGCTCCGTTTGACCAATAAATCTGGAGATCAAAGAAAGGGCCAGAGGAAGGAAGAGTAAGAAGACGACAATGGGAACAGATAGAGACAGACATACTTTAAGGCCGTTGATATTCTTGGGGTAGTGGCAGCCTGTTACCATTATGCCTGCTAGACAATCTAGCTCGAAAATTGTGAACGGCACAAAGGGCGTAGCGATATAGTTCCCGAATAGGTGTACCCGGAAATTGTTGTTCAGGAACACAATAGAACACAACTCCGCAAAGAGTTTGCTATTGTAGCGCGCATCGTATCCGATGACCACGCCTTGCTCAGACCACATGCTCTCATCCGGATATTCCTGCTTCAGATAGGCGCATAATCCTTGAGCAGTCCTTCGGAGGATAAATAAAAAAATACAGAACTAATTAACCATGAACTATGCACAGACTTACTGTATGACAACCAGCTCGTTCATACCGTCGAACCCGGCTCGCATCGGCGCTCGGAAGCCATCTGTGCCGAGTGTCATCCGATTGTTCATGCAGGCCTGAAGCCTATCGAATATCGAATATCGAAAGGAACATATTAATGATTATGCTGTTTTCATTGAATTTCAACGTACGTCTCCCAATCTTCTTGTTTGATAGCATCAATTATTTGAGCCTTCGTATGTGGACTCTGATCCCAATCCATCCAATTGCTGATTTGAGCATCGAGAACTCTGTCGCCAGAGTAACAATGAAAGCTTGCCATACAAGATGGATTCCGGTGGAATACCAAATTCCATGTACTACGTCTTACGAGTCCATTAAAAATTATATCCTGTAATACATTCCGTGCTATGGTCGAAGCGTGCCGCGAGTTCTGCTGCGTCTCATATTGCTGGAGGTTAGCTGTGGATTTTCTATATAGTCGAGGCCAAGAGGAAGAAGGCTTTGAGGAGAATCTCTCGGTAAGCGCGCGAAGGAACAAAACCATTTTTTATTATTACAGAAAATATCTTACTTCACCTGAAATAATTTTGACATGTACTGATGAGGTCTTTGAAAATTGTGAATAAAGTAGAAGGCAAAATCTGAGTCGTCAGTCTACAGTCTACTCTGCTAACAGCCACATTATAACAGAGTGTTAAATGTGGTAACATAATTGAAAGAAACATCGGAACTCCGGCTCAAACTCGCCAAATCTCCTTTTAATGATGTACCAAATAAAAAACCATAAAGTATTTTGATTATGTATATTTTAACCGAACCAAAATGGTGTTGATTACACTGATAGTTTTATTTATTAATTTTTTTTACCATCTATCTAATTATCAAGAAATATCTGTTTTCATATTCGTATCAGGCATGGTTCGTGTTCATCATATTGCATTTGTAATGCATTTTGAAATAACTGAAAATTTGTGGAGAAAACTAAAAATTTGCGGGGCCCTATACATATATGAAAACCCTTCCCATTTCAATTTTATTCTTCCTTGCGCACCTTCAGCCCATTCTTTGCGGGCTCCAAGAACTCAGTGATAACGCCATCCATCATTTTGTTGAGTGTCGTTGTCAGCTCGTCCCAATGCTTGTTTTCGGGCTTGCCGGCCATCTCGGCATAGTACTTGATCTTTGGCTCGGTTCCGCTCGTTCGCAGTGTCACCTCCATGCCATTCTTAAAGACAAACGTTATCATCTGGGAGGACTCACTGACTGGCAGCACTGGTTTCTTATCGGGAGTGCTGCTGTCGTAGCCCGTGGTGAGGTCCCGCACGCTCTCCACCTCGTACTCCCCGTCCAAGATGTTCGTCGGATATGTGTTCTCCTGACCGTCCTCGAAGGTGCGCAGACGATCGAAGATCCTCTTGGTTAGTCCACTGTCGGTGCACATCACGTAGGAGCCAACAGTGGCATGGAATCCGTACATCTCGTACAAGTCCCGCAGTTTCTCCTGCATCGTCATACACTTCTTGCAGCGCAAGTAGCAGGCCATGGTGGCCACGTGCGCCGCAGCTCGGATGCCATCCTTATCGACGACACTGGTGGAAATCATGTAGCCGACGGCCTCCTCGAATCCGAAAAGCACCTTTTTGCCAGCATTCTGCTCCTCGATCGCCTTGTTGCCGATCCATTTGAAGCCCGTCAGCGTCTCGTGGTGCGTGAATCCCTCCACCTGGGCCATGGACTTCAGCAGCTTCGAGCTCACTGTGCTGGAGATCATCACACAATTGGCTATGTCGGGGTTCTCCTCATTTATCTTGTAGTTCTCCAATGCCCACCAGCCGAGCAGGGCGCCCATTTCGTTGCCAGTGAACACCTTGAAATTCTTAGTCTCATCGAGCTCGGCGACAACCAGACGGTCCGCATCCGGATCATTGGCTAAGATGATTTCCGTCTTCTTCTCATTGGCTCGTTCGATTGCCAAGCACAAAGTCTTCGGGTCTTCCGGATTGGGCGAAGGTGCCGTGGGGAATTCTGGATCGGGCGCAACCTGCTGCATCACGGGTATTACGGCCTTAAGGTTTATCTTGCTGAACGCCAGCTTGACATACGCATAGCCAACGCCATGCATCGGGGTGTAGGTGAAGGTTAATGGGCACCTGCCGTTGGCCTCCATGAGCGGGCACGATATCTCCTTCTTGAGCGCATCGTAATAGGGCGGCAGAACGTTGTTGTATGGATCGGACAGCAAATCGTTGCCGCAGAGCAGCGTCTCATCCCAAGAATCCGGATGTGGCTGCAAGTTCTCCATTATCGCATTTTGAATACCCTCGTCGTGTGGCGGTATTATCTGCGCACCGTTACTCCAATAAACCTGCAGACACGAATTGTGATAGTGAGCATTTATATCAGATAGCTCGATCAATCAGTATACCTTATAGCCGTTCTCCTGCTTGGGATTGTGAGATGCAGTTATCATCACACCGGCTAGCGAGTGCATCCTCATCACTGTGTAGGGCACGAAGGGGGTGCCGACCATACGCTTGAACTGAAATACTCGAAAATTGTTGCTCAAAAAGACAATGGTTGTTAGTTCCGCAAACCGTTGACTGTTGTATCGACCATCGAACCCAATTACAACGCCGCGCTCGGCCCACTCAGCTTCGTCCGGGCACTGTTCCTTTATGTAGGCACAGAGTCCCTGACTGGTCCTGTTGAGCAAGAGTTATATGATATCATTTACATTTTATACTCCCCCCAACCCTTTCACCCTAATTAACGCGAACGATTCTTACTGTATGACGACCAATTCGTTCATGGAATCAAAGCCCGCTCGCATTACGGCCCTCAGCCCGGCCGTTCCGAAGTCAATGCGTCGGCAGAGACGACACCGCAGCCTGGGTGGGTGGATGAAATCGGAATTAAAATTGATATTGAAATTGAAAATGGTAAAACGGTCGGTTAATCTGAAGCTTACGTGTCCCAATCCTCATTCCTGACTGCCTCCATTATTTGAGACAATGTGTCCTGGTTGCGATCCCATTTAACCCACTTCTTAATTTGGCTGTCGAGCTCCTTATCGCCTGAGAGCGGCATATGCTTCAGCTCGCAAATCGCTTGGCCCATTGATTGACACATCGTGAACAGTCAAAGAATTTAGAAATTAGTTAGAGAGAAAAAAAAATTGTTATTGTCGTACAAAGTAGTTTGACAAAAAAATAAAAACTAAAGCAGGTCCATGTTTCGGATTGTAATTGGAAGCTGACTAGATTTGGATTTGATAATAAATGCCATGTATATGGAGTTTCCTATAAAGGATTTCTACAAAATGAAAGTAAACCAAATATCGACCCGAAATAAACCAAACCTTGATCAATAACAGTATATCGAATATACATAAATTTGGTAATTAATTTCCCAAAAAGAGAGTAAATTGGATTTCCAAAATATCTTAGACATGCAACTCACATGATTTCCTGCACAATTAGCGACTCGACATGGGGGACTCACAGGCATAAGGACAAGCGGCCCGGGGACATCCTTTTACACGCATGTACTCTTGGCTCGACTAATTAAATATGTTTGTATTTGGCAAACATATTTTCCAAATAGTTAATTATTCAAATGGGCACGCAAAAACAACGAGCCAGAACCAGAAACAGAGCCAGAAAAAAGTATATTTCCTCATAATGAACAGGCAGAAAAACCGCACTAATTGTGACTCATAATTAGAGACATGTTAATTGCCGAGCGAAAAAAAGCAATATATATGTATATAGGGTGGGACAGAAATGAATAAACGAGAAAACAAAAAGAAATTAAAGAGATAGTAAACGGGCAGACAGTTGTAATCCAGATTCGCGCAGCTGAAGCTGAAAACTTGGGCAGGCAAAGTTTGTTCGCTGGTCAGCAGAGAACTTGGCCACAGATTGAATTAGTTAATCTAATTTAAGTATAATGTAAACAGGCCACTTTCTCATGAAGGGCCCCCAAATCGAAATAAGAACGCACACAAATGCCCAACAGTCGCCCAACTTTGGTCAGCCACTAATGTCAACTTTTTGGGGCGGGGCGGGTTGTCTCTCGACTGGACAAACAGTTTCGGGCGCAACTAACCTAACCATACACTCGCCCATTCAGTCAAGCTCCGTCCCGCCGCTACTCATCCAGTCAGCCACTCATCCACTCAGCCATTCATCCAGTTTAAAGTCATCCTGCCCGGCGGTTTGCATAAATTTTGTTTTGCAAATATTTCATTTGCATATTTTCGTTACGTTGTTTTGCTGTTTGGTTTTGTTTCCTTGCGTTACGTTGCGATCTTATACTATATGTATGTATATAAATACATATATATTTGATTTTTTTTTACTCCAAGTTGCCAAGAGACAAAAATATTTCTCATATGCATCGATTTCAATATGTCTAAATGTTTTTATTTAATTTATACCATTTTCTACTGTTTTCTCTTGGTAAAAAGGCCACACGCAGCTGCCTCAAGCAAGGCAGTCAAATTCTGAATTGGTTTATCTTTGATTGGCAGACTTTTGTTGACCCATTTGTATCTATCATTTGGCTAATAATGCAAATACAAACAATAAACAGAAAGGTCGAGTCCTGCCAGCTGAAAATAATTAAATGCATAGCAGTTAAATACCTATCTATATGACGCAATTTATATCTTTATGGAATATGATAAATAGATTACTAAATACATTTTACATGCATGTTTAATACTAATTCAAACTTAAGATGTGTTTTTGCAGGATAGCAATTATTTGCCTGCCTTCTGTTGTGCCACAGTCAACAAGTAAATGTTAAACTGTGTGCCATTCTCAACTGTTAAAATTTCCCCACTTGCACTGTTAACTTAACATCCACAACTCGCTCGCTCTCTTTGGCGCTCTCACTCTCACTTGCTGTTAACTTAAAAACCACAACTCTCGCGCGCTATTAAAATCACTCTGACTGTTGATATAACAGCAGCTGTTAAAATGGGGAGTTCTCAAGACGGTGTTATTGGCAACAAATTAGCGAGTTTAGTCCTCAACAAGCCTTTGAGTAAGTTGGTAGGCGAGCTCAGAGCTAAGTGCCAGCATTGCTGCATTGAGTAGCGCTGTGCGCACTAGAAAAGACGTCACTGTAGTCCAGCTGGGCACAGTGAGTGCAGCTATTTGCGCGACCTTTGACACGCATTTAAATGCATCGCTCATTAATATAATCGACGCGATATGCAAACTACAAGCCACATACACACGCCTTTGACTTGGCAATTTGACAATCTGACTGGCGGCAGACAGCTCCCAGGCGTTGCACGGCTCGTTTCTTATTGGAAATTATGCATGCACCGGCAACTGGGAGCCTAACCGACAATTAGAGCTTCGCAGAGGACTGCCGGGCCTCGATGCGGCTAAGTGGACTGGGAATCAAAGCGCGCGGAGCAACTGCTGCGTTCCCTCCGTCTTCGGAGGCTGTGCCCGCCTCCTGCTGCAATATTATTTTTATATGCCTCTTCGATTTTGCTTGGAATTTTTCTTTTTCTGTTTTTCTCTTTATGGACGCCTTTTTTCTACGTTTTGTTGCCTTGGTTTTATTATTTCTGCACTCCTCTCGTATCTGCATCTTTTAACATGATATTCCTTTTAATAATGCCAATTCATTGACAACTCTTCTGCTGGGGGGCTTGGGATCTGGCAATAAACCAGTCATCTGCCGTTGGCTTTAAATAACTAATGTTTAATTTATATTTAGGAGCAACGCTTTCAAATTATAATTAAATTGAATCCCTTGATCTGCGTTTCCAAAAGCTGCTGACAATAGGGAATTACGTACGTCGCCACGGCTGCCTAACAAAAGGCTGAGCAATCTATATAAAAAAAACTCAAACTCCTGGACCCACTCCCAGTAACGTTCCCGGCTCCGATCCCGATCCCGGTCCCGGTCCTTGGGCGGTTCTCGCCACCTTTGGCAAGGTAAACAAAAAACGTGTGAAGCTCCATGTCCATTACCTTTGCCAATATACAATATATTCTATATACATAGATACATATGTATTTATATAGCATGTATTTGTAAATGAAAAAGAAGAGCGAAAATTCGTCAAGCAATACTAAATCACAAAAGGCGGCAATATAAAAGCCGAACAAAAAGCAGCATCCCCCCTGAGTGCGTATATATGTATGTGAAATATGCGTTGCGGCACCCGAGGTGCCCGACAGATCCGACACACCCGACAGTCCCGACAGACCCAACAGACAGACAGACCCGACAGACAGACAGACAAGCAGGCTGACATTGAGACAGACGGACGGACGGACAGACAGTCACATGTCAAACATTCTTTTGACACTTTGTCATAACATCTCGCTGTGACACTTGTCAGCAGTCGGATTTCACATTCGCAATTCGCTCTCTCGCTCGCACGCCCGCATTTCGGATTGCTGCGTCCTGCACTCCGCACAGAGCTCTCTTGATTTATAGCCTGTAAGCAAGTGGATATCCATCCATACCACATCCACATCCACATCCACATTCACATCCGCAATTCACATTTTACTTATGCATCGTTTTTTGCAATTTTCAATTTTTCTAATGATATTTGTTGCTATTCCTAGGCAGCCAGACCCATGTGAGCAGGAGGCCCCATTACTTGAATGTGGGAATGAATTACTTATTGAATTTAAAAGTTTCTGAATCTTGAATGGGTCCTAAATTATCTGAAATTATGTGGGCTATTATTCAAATGGGGGTTTGAGCAAAAGTTTAGCAACTCATAAAGACCTGAGCTAAGCTTTCATTCTGGCAAATCCATTGTAATCAGTACAAGTATTATAATTGAACTACTCAAACCTGAGCCAAGAGAACTTCGAGTTGGTTGCAACAATTCTGGTGGGGCCCAACACAATTAGCGCTGGAAGACTGAGAGCGCGGTTTTCTAGTTAACTGGCGCGCTGACGGCCATTTATCAGGGGCATCTAATCTAATCCTTTTACTGGTCAAATAAATTAAAATGAAAAGCCTTTTTCGGCTGTGGCCGCCACTAAATTACGCCAAAGATAATTAACCTGTAGACTGTTTACCGGGGCAGACAGAGAGCTACCGAGCGTGCACACACACACACACACACACACATACATCTATATACATATATATACATTTTAGTAGTATCTTTGAGGCAAGGACTCTTTATTAGGCCTTCGACCCTTGGAGCGGAAGCGCAAATGGGCGCATTGAGGCTGTGTAAGCGAGACGCTTTCGAGTGGCGCTGTGAAATTACAAAATGGCGCAAATTATAGCGCAGCCAGCGAAGGACTATAGCGATGGCAACGACGACGACGACGACGGCGGCGGCGGCGGTGTTGGCCATTTCCGTTCGAAGGCATTTTTCCAAATGAAGTTTGCAAGTAATCATGAAAAAGGTAATTTAATAAAAGCAAAATCGAGAAACATAAAACTAATTTACGGATCCGAAATTGCCTCTGAAAAGCGAGTAAAAAGCGCCGCCGCCATCGCCGCCGCCGCCGTAGGATGCCAAAAAAGAGAATTAGTAGAAGAAAAAGTCCAAATCGGCTGCAACATGAAAGCAGCTTAGCCCAGTTGTTGTAGTTCAAGGTTGAGCTTAGCGGCAGCTACATTGCCCAGCCACTCATAATTCGACAGCATTTTGATTTTAAAGAGTCTCAAAAGAGCCAGAGCAAAAGTCAGGCCGGCTTCAGCCAGGCGAAATAATGTACTGCCCAAGCTGGCCAAGGAGCAAGAGAGCAGAGAGAGGAAGAGGGCGCAACTTAAAGGGCTCGAGCAATTCAATAAAGGCCAACAAAGCAAATGGCTAAGCTGATGTCCACTCGAAAGCCGTATATTGAGGAAAGTGGAGAGATAGAAAGAGGAGGGGACAGAGGATCACTTGAGAATGGGTTAAGTCCACACGGAAGCACAAAACATGTCCAGCCATTTCACGCAGCAACTATAAGCTGCTCCAGAAAAATGGAACAACTTGCTGACAAACACACACACACACATACGTGCAGACGACGAGAAATAGATTTCAAGCCTGGCATTCTATAGAGTTCTCTCCCTCCCTCTCTCTCACACACACACACACACGCTCTTAGCCAGCTGTCCTCTTGGCCTGACCAACCGCA